GTCCGTCGGGGGTGAGTGTGCTCTTGGCACGGACGTCCTAGAGGACAGGCAGGAGGAGTTCCAGTGTCTGGCTGCTGCTTCACCTCATCTCGCGTCTGTACTGCTTGCTCCTGAGGGAGACCCGGATGCACTAGACATCCCGACTCCGCGCTCTTACGCGGAGGCCGTAGAGGGTCCCTACTCCTCTCAGTGGCAGGCAGCTATGGATGCAGAGATGGCTTCCTGGAAGTCCACAGGCACCTACGTTGACGCGGTTCCCCCTCCTGGGGCGAACATCGTCAGTGGCATGTGGATCTTCGGGGTGAAGCGGCCGCCGGGCTCTCCACTTGTCTTCAAGGCGCGGTACGTCGCTCGTGGCTTGAGTCAGCGGCAGGGAGTTGACTACTTTCAGACCTTCTCTCCCACCCCGAAGATGACCACTCTTCGGGTGCTGCTGCACATAGCCGCTCAGCGTGACTACGAGCTTCACTCTCTCAACTTCAGCACTGCGTTCTTGCAGGGTAGCCTGCACGAGGAGATCTGGCTGCGCCGTCCACCTGGCTTCACTGGGACTTTCCCTCCTGGCACCCAGTGGAGCCTCCGACGGCCAGTCTACGGTCTCCGCCATGCACCACGTGAGTGGCACGACACATTGAGGACTACGCTTGCGGCTCTTGGGTTTGCTCCTTCTACTGCTGACCCGTCGTTGTTTCTGCGCACCGACACTTCACTGCCGTCGTTCTACATCCTCGTGTACGTCGACGACTTGGTCTTTGCCATAGCTGACACTGCTGGACTCGCCTACGTGAAGTCCGAGCTGCTGAAGAGACACACGTGCACAGACCTGGGTGAACTGCGCAGCTACCTTGGCTTGCAGATCACTCGGGACAGAGCACGCCGCACCATTACCTTGACTCAGTCACACATGGTGCAGCAGGTCCTTCAGCGCTTCGGCTTCACGTACTCCTCGCCTCAGGCCACTCCTCTATCTACTCGCCACTCGCTCTCAGCTCTGCCTTCGGATGAGTCCGTAGAGTCGAGTGGCCCGTACTCAGAGCTTGTTGGCTGCCTCATGTACCTGATGACCTGCACACGACCTGACCTTGCATACCCTCTTAGCATTCTTGCACGCTATGTTGCTCCTGGGAGACACCGACCAGAGCACATGGCTGCAGCGAAGAGGGTATTGCGCTACTTGTGCAGTACGTCGGGCATGGGGCTAGTGCTTGGAGGGCGGAGTCCAGTGGTCCTTACAGGTCACGCGGACGCTTCTTGGGCTGACGACCAGGCTACGCAGCGGTCGTCACAGGGTTACACCTTCAGCCTTGGTTCCGGCTCTGTCTCGTGGCGGGCTACTCGCTCGTCTTCGGTTCTCAGCTCCAGTTGTGAGGCTGAGATCTACGCAGGGGCCATGGCTGCACAGGAGCTTCGCTGGCTTACCTACCTGCTGACTGACCTTGGAGAGCCGCCTCGTTCTCCTCCGGTGCTGTATGTAGACAACAAGGCCATGCTGGCCTTGTGTCGAGAGCAGCGTCTGGAGCACAGAACAAAGCACATTGCTCTTCGCTACTTCCTTGCTCGTGAGCTACAGCAGCGTGGACAGTTGCGGCTTGCGTACGTGGCCTCTGAGGCCAACACTGCTGATGTGTTCACCAAGGCACTCGCGCCTTGTGACCATCAGCGCTTCTGCACCGAGCTGGGTCTTGTACCTGTTTTGCCTCACTTGCTCTCCTCTTGACCTTACTTGTACTGTCACATATATATACGTGCTCTTGCTTGTCTAGCTTTATATATATATGTCTGTACTCCTGCATGTGAACTGGCCTTTGGCCTTGCTCTTGTGCTCGGACTGTGTGGTGACTTTGTGATCCACCCTGAGCTTGCTTTGCTTTGCTTGACTGGTCTTGTGACCTCTTGTTCTCCCCCACTTTGCCTATGGGGGTGTGTCAGAACATACATATAGCTTATGCTATTGTGTAGGCTGTAGTGGGGTATCCCATATGGGGTACAACCCAACTAGGGTTTCCTATATGTACTCACTTCATTCATAGTTCATTCATTCTCGTTCTATTCTTCTCAGGGTATTACACTCTAAAAAGCGGGGTGAGCTAGGAAAGTAGCTCTGATACCAGGTGTTATGAATGAACTTGCAGAGTGCGCAGAATATCGAATAACGAGAATGAACTGATTACTGAATTATTGAATTACTGAATGCCGATACAATGAGACAAGCACGACTAAATAGGGGAAGTCCTAGCTAGGCGGAGAGGTTGGGCGAGGATGGCTCGGTGATGGTTGCGATTGGTGCGGAGGCGACTCGGGAGTGGTTCGGTGCGACGAAATAGGAAGGACAGGTTCGTCGCGTGACCCTCGGGATGGCCTCGCTAACGAGTGCCCCAGTAAGGATTCTGTAAATCCTTACAGGTTGGGAAAGTACTGTTCAAAGGGAACAGTAAATCCCCCCTTAACAAAAACAAATATGAAACCCTGGCTACAGTTGTGGGCCGTTTTTATATTGACATATCCGGTAGTAGCCTGTCATGTGCCGTGCATGAAGTTTGTGAAAAGTAGAGTGGATGCTGCTACTCGGTGTTTCGACAACTCGACCTCGAATCAGAAAAGAGGTTCACCACTTTACCCCTTTAGACCGCTCTTGCATCAGATCTTCCCTAACAAGATCTCTGCCTGAAAGGTCCTCTTTTCATGACCGTTTGTTGCTCGAGTCGTTCCGTCATCCGCACCGCACCATTACCACAGGGGCTTCCGCGCCTGAGGTTTGTCTCAGATTTTCCTGCTTTTACATTCGACGGAATTATTGCAGCCTCGTGTCTGACACGTCACTCACGCGCACATGGACGAGGAGCAAGGCCAGCTCTCCGTCTTCCTAGCCTTTCGCGAGAAATGCGACGCGCTGGAAGCCGCGATTCGAGCTTTAAGTTCCAGAGATTCCGGTTTCGTTGCCGAATTTGCACAGTCGGAGATAAACGGCGGGGAAAGGAGACAACAGGTGGACGATGCAGGAAGCAATCAACGGTCTGGATTGAATGCGGATCAAGCGGCGGTGGAAGCGCTGCGCGCGGTGGAAGACCTAGTAGCGCATTTCGCGCCGTCGGTCCCGCGGCGTGACGTGGAGCAGATGACGTCGCGCGTGGCCGCGCTTCGCGCCAACCTGGAAACTGCCCGATCCGCCTCGAAACCCAAAAAACGATTCGCCTTCTCCTCAAGAGGGCAAAAGAAACCTTCTTCAGAAAATAAAGACGCCTCGTCCTCTGAGAAATCTCTCGTACAACCGACGCAGTCGCTGCATCCAGTGGGTAGTTGCCAGGCGGAGCAGGAGGGCGACATGGGGAGAACGGGAATAATGGCCTCCGATGTTGACCCAACAGGGGCACCAGGAGGAGCCGCATCGGGAGCAGCAGCGTCAGGAGAAGCGGCGGCAGGAACAGGAGCACCCGCAGCAGGAGGAGAATCCGGAGCAGCAGCGCTGGGAGCAGCAGGAGGAGAATCCGGAGCAGCAGCGCTGGGAGCAGCAGGAGGAGAATCCGGAGCAGCAGCGCTGGGAGCAGCAGGAGAAGTTGGAGCAGCCAAAGCAGCAGGAGCGTCCGCCGAGGCTCCATCTTCCATCCCACCAATCAGCTCCGCGCACCCGTCCCTCTCCATCTCCCACCGCTCCCACGAGCACATCCAAATCTCACCGGAGCAGCACAGACGCGGAGAGCTCACGCTGCAGCACCTCTCCCACTGCCACGTGTCCGTACGAGGCGTCCTCTCCGCCGTCTTCCTCCGCCACGTGCGCGACTGCCACGTCATCCTCTGCCCGGTGTCGGGAGCCTGCCACGTGGAGGACGCGTCAGGCAGCACTGTAGCCGTCGCGAGTCATCAGCTGAGGATACACCAGACAGAGCGCGCCGATTTCTATGTCCGCACGCGCAGCAGGCCGCTTATAGAGCACTCTAAGGGTGTCAGATTCGCGCCTTATCGTAGGGAGTATGACGGGTTGGAGGCGGATTTTAAGGATGCTGACCTGGCGTTGGATGGTGGGCTGTGGGCCCACGTGAACGATTTCGGTTGGCTGCGTGCGGTGTCGTCGCCGAATTGGTCGGTTATTCCTGAGGAAGAGAGGAAGAGTTGACAGAGGCGTGAAGCTTTACAAGTGCAGGGGGGGATTGCAGATACGTGTTTTGAGGCGCCCCAATGGTTGGCTGTTTCTGAGGAAGAGAGGAAGAGTTGACAGAGGCGTGAAGCTGTACAGTTGCAGGGGGGGTTCGCATTGCAGATACGTCTTTTGAGGCACCTCAAAGGTTGGCTATTCCTGATTAGGAGAGGAAGAGCTTGGCAGAGGCGTGAAGCTTTGCAGACTCATGGGTGTTTGCAGACATGGTGAGGCTTCAGAGGTGCATGGAGGTTTGCAAAGGTGGAAAAGCTCACACATGGACAAGCATTTACCGAGGCATGGGTTTCACAGAGAATGGGGTCTTGCGGATTTGTGAAGGCCAGTACTGAAGGTCAGGCAAAGTTGGAGAGCTGTGTTGGTGGTGGGAGGGCGGAAGGAAAGACGAGGTGGTGTGTGTAGTGCAGACTACAGCAGATGTCATTTCCGTCCCCGCAATTGTTGTTGAGATGGCATGTGCTAAGGTTGATACTGCTGCAGAAATCTGGTTGAAATACTGCTGCATAATATTTCTTGCCTCTAACACAACCTACACACAGATGTAAAAAACACAACAAACACACAACATATATTACCATGCTTTCTTATCCTTCAAATTCCAATCTTTTCATTGTCATTACTCTCTCCCTCCACCTGTGCTCCATCCATCCTCTTCTCCAGGAGAGCTTTCCTCAACTCGAACCCCAGAGTCTGGGCCAGAGGTAATTTTTAATCCGACTCAAAAGTCACTATGCTTCATCGTTTCTCTCTCCCTCCACCTCTGCTCCATCCATCTCTTTCGTTTCCAGGAGAGCTTTCCGCAGCTGAAAGCCCAGAGCCAGTGCCAGAGGCATTATGTGTTCACATTCCATTACTTTGCCTCATCCTTACCCTCTCTCTCCACTTCTGCTCCATTCATCTTCCTCGTCTCCAAGAGAGCATTCCTGAGCTGCAAGCCCAGAGCCAGGGCAAGAGGTGGAGGGACAGCGTTGCCGATCTGGCGATGCTTGGCCTGAATGTTGCCAGCAAAGCGGTACCAGTCGGGGAAGCCCTGAGAGATTTGTGGCTCATTGGGAACACAAAGAAAGGGAAAGTGTTAGTTGAGATGACGGTGCTTGGCCCGGATGTTGCCCGTGAAGTAGTACCAGTCGGGGAGACCCTGAAAGATTAACACAGGAAGGAGGAGTGGGGCGAACATGGTCGGACTATCTTGTGGAGCCTGGCGTGAATGATGCTTGCAAAGCGGTGCCACGGTCACATTCAGGCAACACGGTTCTACCAGTTAAGGGAAGCCCACCAAGGCGTTGTGAGCGCAAGGTAAACGGGACTGGGGGGGAGGGTAATTGTGAGAGCATTGGGTAGAAGCAGGAATAAGGCAATCAAAGCAAGAAAGAGCTGACTGGTGAAAAGGAAAGTCTTCACCCTATGAAGAAAGAACTCTCCACCAACCGGAGTGAAAGCACATGCCCACTTTCCCCATGGGCTGGGGGTCCGTCACAGACGTGGGAAAGTTGCCCGCCCAGTCACCCCTTGATTCATCAGGCTCTCACCCACGCCAATCCCCCACTATGATCTTGAAGATTGGGACATCCCAGAGCTTTTTTGTGAAATCTCAAAAAATCCCACACCAACACCAATCCCACACCAACACCAATCCCACACCAACACCAATCCCACACCAACAGCAATCGCACACTAGAATGTTGAAGTCGGGGACATCCCAGAACACCACAACCCTTGTCACACGTCCCCTCCCTTACCTGCGATCGCGCACACTCGCGCACGCTGACAATGCGGTCCTGCTCGGGGTGAAAGCACATGCCCACTTTCCCCATTGGCTGGGGGTCCGTCACAGACGTGGGGAAGTTGCCCGCCCAGTCCAGCCGCCCAAACAACCCCTTCCAGTTATTGTGCCGCTCCATGGTGTTGGGTAGGCACCAGGGGACCAAATCTGTCTCACGGCCGTCCGACAGCCGCACCTGTGGATGAAAATGAGGGAAAGGAAGGGATACCAAGGAGAGGTCAGGTTACGGGTGTGAAAGTAAGCTGCCCAAACAGCCCCTTCCAGTTGTTGTGGCGCTCCATGGTGTTGGGTAGGCACCAGGGGACCAAATCTGTCTCACGGCCGTCCGACAGCCGCACCTGGTGAGGAACAGGGGGTTTGGGGTATACAAGAAAGTGTTTTGGAACTGTAAGGCTGGCCAAACAGCCCCTTCCAGTTGTTGTGGTGCTGCATGGAGTTGGGCAGGCGCCAAGAGAACAGGTCTGCTTCGCACCCATTGAATAAGCGGATCTGTGGTTCAAAGGAACGGGATGTTGCTGTTGATATGTGATAAAAGTGATGTTTTGAGACGTCTCAAAATAGCCAAGAGACCAGGCCTGCTTCGCACCCATTGAATAAGCGGACCTGTGGTTCAAAGGAACGGGATGTTGCTGTTGATACGTGATAAAAGTGATGTTCTGAGACGTCTCAAAATAGCCAAGGGGAAGAGATGGTAGAAGGGGACCGACTCGTCGAATGTGATGTCCTGAGAGGCAAAGACACGGCGCGAGGTGGGGTGGTAAAAATGCCTGCGAGGCGCGTCGGGGACAAAGCCCACGAAGACACAAGGAACGGCGCGGGAGGAGAGCTTATCCGCGGACGTATCGCGGACAAAGGCACGAGATCCCCAGACCCCGAACACAGACGCATCGCCAACCTCTCCCGTCCAACGCAGTGTCGGCGAGGTCTCCGGAACGGAGACACGGGGCCAGAGGTGGAGCTGATGCGCGGCGTAGCGGACCGCAAACGGCCACAGAAAATGGGGGGCAGCCGCATGGACCAAGGAGGTACGAGCAACCTCCATGACCAAGCCAATGCGGCACTCAACAACCTCATTCTGCTGAGGAGAGGCCGGAAGCGTGAACGTCTGGCGAATGCCCTCCCCCTGACAGAAGGTCTCCAAGAGACCGGAGGAAAACTCACCACCTCTATCAGAGTGCAGTCGCAGGACGGGAAGGTCCGTGCGAAAGCGCTTCTCCAGCTGGAGACGGGTAGCGCGGATCCAAGGGATCAAAACAGCAGGGACCTCTTCCTTGGTGCGCAAGGGGGAGACCGTGGTGTAACGCGTGTAGTCGTCAACCACCAACAGGAAGTAGCGCTCGCCGCCCTAACCACAGACGCGGGCTGGGCCCCACGTGTCCATGTGAAGGGTCTGCAGAGGGGCCTCCGTCAGGGGAAACTCAGAGGAGTGAGGGGTGGCACGCTGCCGTCCCTCGACACAGGGAAGGCAGGGAGGGGCAGGGGACGGTGGCAGGGGAGGCAGTGACCTGGGGAGACCAGAGACAAGGTAACGGGAGTGCATGCCACGAAGGCATTGCATTGAAGGGTGCCCAAGGCGGTGGTGCCAGAGGACCGTCCGCTGCGACAGGGTGCGACACGAGCAGGGGGCGGACAACTGACCTGACGCAGATGTAGACGCCGCTACCTGAGGGGACTCAGTGGTCAGTGTGTACAGGTCCGACCCCGGCTGCCGAGTGAAGGTAGCCAGGTGACGACCCATCTGGGCACACGTGCAGTGTGTCACACGCTCGTAGGCAGGGGTGAATTGGTGAACACCCGCATCCTGGAGCGCGGAACGCGCCACCAGGTTCGTAGAGAACGAGGGGAGGTAAAGGCCAGACAGGGTGTCGGACGGGACAGCAGGACAAGGGAGTGCATTGGTGGAGGTCGCAAGAACCGGACCCCCAGAGGGGTCAGCTAGGGAGACAGCAACCGGCCTAGGGAGCTGCTTGAGGGCAGTGCGGTCGCGAAAGAAACAGCGGGAAGCACATGAGTCCAGTGTGAAGGTGTGCAGTACCTCAGTAGACGCAGTACCTGAAGGCGCAGACTCAGAAGCACCGGACGCAGCTGACACATCTGCACCTAGAGCAGCAGCCTCACCAGGACTTGGGGCAGCAGACACACTAGCACCTAGAGTGGCAGCCTCACTGGTCGCAATGCCTGGGTCTGGTGGCACACACAAGTAACAGTCACCCTTAACACTAATAGTCAATGCATACATGGCTCCAAGGATAACATCAAAGTCAAGTGCAAAGACATCAATGTTCTTTTTAAGCAGATCAGCCCAGCGGGGCAGCTCAGAGGCCTCAGGGAACTGTGCACACCAGGCGTCGTCGAGACGAAAGAAGCAGCGCTGTGGCGTGTGGAACCTCCCACACGTCTGACCAGCGCGGTCACCTGTGCGGATGACATACGTGCAGGTACCCCCACCCCCAGACCCCCCATGCTGAGAGTACCACTCACAAAGCTGCTGGGACGACGGGGTCTCTCCAAGCCGCTGCTGCTGGCGCTGGGCGCCACCTGTTGAATATAGAACGAGAATGAATGAACTATGAATGAAGTGAGTACAAATAGGAAACCCTAACTGGGTTGTTCCCCCTATGGGATACCCCACTATAGCCTACACAATAGCATAGGCTATATATATATGTTCTGACACACCCCCATAGGCAAAGTGGGGGAGAACAAGGGATCACAAGACCAGTCAAGCAAGGCAAAGCAAAGCTCAGGGTGGATCACAAAGTCACCACACAGTCCGAGCACAAGAGCAGGGCCAAAGGCCAGTTCACACGCAAGAGTACAGACATATATATAAAGCTAGACAAGCAAGAGCAGGTATATATATGTCACAGTACAAGTAAAGTCAAGAGGAGAGCAAGTGAGGCAAGACAGGCACAAGACCCAGCTGGGTGCAGAAGCGCTGACGGTCACAAGGCGCGAGTGCCTTGGTGAACACATCAGCAGTGTTGGCCTCAGAGGCCACGTACGCAAGCCGCAACTGTCCACGCTGCTGTAGCTCACGAGCAAGGAAGTAGCGAAGAGCAATGTGCTTCGTTCTGTGCTCCAGACGCTGCTCTCGACACAAGGCCAGCATGGCCTTGTTGTCTACGTACAGCACTGGAGGAGAACGAGGCGGCTCTCCAAGGTCAGTCAGCAGGTAGGTGAGCCAGCGAAGCTCCTGTGCAGCCATGGCCCCGGCGTAGATCTCAGCCTCACAACTGGAGCCGAGAACCGAAGACGAGCGAGTAGACCGCCACGAGACAGAGCCGGAACCAAGGCTGAAGGTGTAACCCTGTGACGACCGCTGTGTAGCCTGGTCGTCAGCCCAAGAAGCGTCCGCGTGGCCGGTAAGGACCACTGGACTCCGCCCTCCAAGCACTAGCCCCATGCCCGACGTACTGCACAGGTAGCGCAATACCCTCTTCGCTGCAGCCATGTGCTCTGGTCGGTGTCTCCCAGGAGCGACATAGCGTGCAAGAATGCTCAGAGGGTATGCAAGGTCAGGTCGTGTGCAGGTCATCAGGTACATGAGACAGCCAACAAGCTCTGGGTACGGGCCACTCGACTCTACGGACTCATCCGAAGGCAGAGCTGAGAGTGAGTGGCGAGTAGACAGAGGAGTGGCCTGAGGCGAGGAGTACGTGAAGCCGAAGCGCTGAAGGACCTGCTGCACCATGTGTGACTGAGTCAAGGTAATGGTGCGGCGTGCTCTGTCCCGAGTGATCTGCAAGCCAAGGTAGCTGCGCAGTTCACCCAGGTCTGTGCACGTGTGTCTCTTCAGCAGCTCGGACTTCACGTAGGCGAGTCCAGCAGTGTCCGCTGTGGCAAAGACCAAGTCGTCGACATACACGAGGATGTAGAACGGCGGCAGTGAAGTGTCGGTGCGCAGAAACAGCGACGGGTCAGCAGTAGAAGGAGCAAACCCAAGAGCCGCAAGCGTAGTCCTCAGTGTGTCGTGCCACTCACGCGGTGCCTGGCGGAGACCGTAGACTGGCCGTCGGAGGCTCCACTGGGTGCCAGGAGGGAAAGTCCCAGTGAAGCCAGGTGGACGGCGCAGCCAGATCTCCTCGTGCAGGCTACCCTGCAAGAACGCAGTGCTGAAGTCAAGAGAGTGAAGCTTGTAGTCGCGCTGAGCTGCTATGTGCAGCAGCACCCGAAGAGTGGTCATCTTTGGGGTGGGAGAGAAGGTCTGAAAGTAGTCAACTCCCTGCCGCTGACTGAAGCCACGAGCGATGTACCGCGCCTCGAAGACAGGTGGAGAGCCCGGCGGCCGCTTCACCCTGAAGATCCACATGCCACTGACGATGTTCGCCCCAGGAGGGGGAACCGCGTCAACGTAGGTGCCTGTGGACTTCCAGGAAGCCATCTCTGCATCCATAGCTGCCTGCCACTGAGAGGAGTAGGGACCCTCTACGGCCTCCGCGTAAGAGCGCGGAGTCGGGATGTCTAGTGCATCCGGGTCTCCCTCAGGAGCAAGCAGTACAGACGCGAGATGAGGTGAAGCAGTAGCCAGACACTGTAACTCCTCCTGCCTGTCCTCTAGGACGTCCGTGCGAAGAGCACACTCACCCCCGACGGACGGAGGACAGACAGACGCAGACTCAGCAACAAGACTAGCAGCGTAGTCTAGACGACAGCGAGCAGCAAAGTCGACGAGCTCAGCGACAAGCGCAGACGCAGCAGTGGACTCAAAAGAGGGGTCAGTGACGACAGTAGCAAGCAGACGCGTGACAGTAGGACTGGCAGCACGAAGGGAGTCCGACTCAGGGTCGGCAAGCGCAGGAAGAGAGGACTCAGGAGGAGAAGGCAAAGGGGCACGCAGAGGAGCAGTGGACGGACGCAGAGACATCCGGTGCGTGCCAGGGACAGGAGGAGGACGCTGACGCGAACCGCAACCACTAGCGCGAGTAAGACAAACAGGCGACGCGGGACGAGACGCAGGCTCACGACGCTCAGCGAGACCACCAGTAGGACCAGTGTAAGGAGAGGGAGCAGGCAGTGGGGAGGAAGGCTCCAACAGTGACTGCGACTGGACAGGCTGTGGACCCTCTACCGGAGGAGAAAGACCAAGAACCTGCTGAAGGAGTGGAACGAAGTACA